TATCTACAACCTCCTCCTCCTCATCATCTTCTTCTTCGTCCCCAAAACCTGCTTCCGTGTTGCCTCCATCTCCATTGAAGGAGTCAAACAACACGGCTGGGGTAGTGGTGGCTGAACCCCCTAAAATGGCATGCAGCTCATCATAGAAGCGGCATGTTTGGGGCTCTGACCCGGAGCAGCCGTTCGCCTCTCTGGTTTTCTAGTAGGCTTGCCTCAGCTCCTTAAATTTCACGCGGCACTGCTTCTGGTCCCTGTTATGGCCTCTGTCCTTCATGCCCTGGGAGATTTTGACAAAGGTTTTGGCATTTCGAAAACTGGAACGGAGTTCTGATAGCACAGATTCCTCTCCCCATACAGCGATCAGACCCCGTACCTCCCGTTCGGTCCATGCTGGAGCTCTTTTGCGATTCTGGGACTCCATCATGGTCACCTCTGCTGATGAGCTCTGCATGGTCACCTGCAGCTTGCCACGCTGGCCAAACAGGAAATGAGATTCAAAAGTTTGCAGTTCTTTTCCTGTCTACCTGGCCAGTGCATCTGAGTTGAGAGTGCTGTCCAGAGCAGTCACAATGGAGCACTCTGGGATAGCTCCCGGAGGCTAATACCGTCGAATTGTGTCCACAGTACCCCAAATTCGACCCGGCAAGGCTGATTTAAGCACTAATCCACTTGTCAGGGGTAGAGTAATAAATCGATTTTAAGAGCCCTTTAAGTCGAAATAAAGGGCTTCATCATGTGGACGGGTGCAGGTTTACATCGATTTAACGCTGCTAAATTCGACCTAAAGTCCTAGTGTAGACCAGGGCCTAGTCAGGTGGAACTAAATTGTCAGATTCTTTCCTCTTGCTTTAAGGCTTATAGCAGTTACACGCTACTGCTGTGCATTGTTGTAAGCCCACAGGCTTTGTCCTCTCCTGAACACTGGATTGGCATTCTGGTTCCTTTCCATTAAGCTGTTTGTTGTTTTATAAAACTCTGTAGCTGTGTATCCAGGCAAGTTACCAATTTCTCAATCTTTTAATATCTGGTTGATTTAGGTAACATTCCCGTAGACATGGCTTGCTGTATTTTGAAGAATAACTCTTGTCTACATGGTTCTAAAAGGAGTGCAAAGAATTACTCAGAGTTCTGTATGGAAAAGATTTTTCCAGCACTAGGTACAAATTAGATTGTTGTTGTCTAGATTAAATCAGCATAATTTCAAACACACTGATATTACAGACTGAAACGCTCCTTTGGAGTGTGGTTACTAATGAGTCCATCTCTTAACATCACTTTTTGTGGTCAGACTGAGAGCCACAACAATCCATTGTTAAATGTGTTTTTCACCATCTTGCCGTTATATTTAGGAAAGGAAAAATTAGCTTTACCAAGCATAGAGCAATTAGAGTTAATGTGTTCATGATCTAAAACAGTGGGGTCCAATTTCAGCCTGAAGGCCCAATCTATTATTTCAGAAAGATGAAGGGGTTACAAGTAATACTGTAGGGCAGAGACTTGATTGTCTCCCTTTCCTTGCATTGCACTGCAAGTCCATTGCTTAGGATTGTCCTGTTTGTTGGTTCTCAGTCTCTCGTCTTTCTACCCTCTCCTGGGCTATCCTTTGGTGGCAGTTTGGAGGAAGGGAGACAGCCTTATTAAACTTTCCTCCAGACTCAGGCAGAACCAGTTGATCTCCATCCTGTTTTGCAGGGGCTCCCACAACCTGGTAAGGGAGCAGGCTATGGTGCAACCAGAGCTACTGTTCTCCCTTCCTTGCAAAGCAGCAGGCAGCCAGAGAAGCTACAATAGGGAAGGGATGGGAGCTGATAGGTGCACTTCTGGCTCACACCAGAGGCTGCAGGGAAGATGAGAGACAGATAGGAAGATATTGTCTGTCCTCTACCTCCTCCCTATAGTGATTAAGCTGATACAAATATTTCATTTTTAAAGTCACAGCTCAGGGAACATATTTTCAATTCTTAATCAAATACAAATTTTCTCTTCTTAATACAGTTGCCCTCAGCAGCCACATTTTGTTACCTCGAGAACTGCAAGTGTTAGTTCACCAGCACTGCACTAGGCTCTTTCCCATAACCAATCTGCACACACAATCCTGATTGGCTGACGTGACCAGAGACACTTGTGTGATTGTTTTCAGGGAAATCAGGTAAGATCCATATAGCATGAGGGAGCAGAAAGTATGTATTAACACAAGATGAGATATTTATTAGCGATGACAAATCTATGGAAGTCTGTGGAGAAGTGAAAAAACTGTTCCCTGTGAATGTTTTGAATGACTGTCATTCAAAACACACCATATAATCAAGACAAAAATTAATCTGCTATAAGAATGATACCTTTTGTCATGGTAACAAAGAACAGATACAGTTGCCCAGCTTTGAGCCTCAGGCTGCTCTGTGTTGGGCCTGTCAGCAGCACAAGTTAGGGGGCTATTATAGCAGCCAGGGATTTCCAGGGCATAGGAATGTCTCAACCTTAATCCTTTACCCAAATTTCAAACCCAGCATTGGCTGCAAGGTGGAGTAGTGGTTTAGGAGCTTCTGTGGCAAATCCATGACAATCCCCTACATATGGGGAATTCTTGTGCAAGACTACTTCTCTGATATAAAAAATACAGAATCACCCTCCGAGTTTGTGGAATAATTTTCATAGTTAGAAAATAATCTAAATCAAGTTCTGTATCTGTGTGAAAATATATCTGTAAGCAAAACATATTCCATGTCATGAATAAAGATTGTAAACAAATGTACAAGAAAATGGTCTGAGAGCAAATGATGTTCAATACTTGAACAGAGCAGCACTATTAGAGCTCAAGTGATCAAATTCTGCATTAGCAGGGAGATGGGGCAGGGATATTGTGAGGGAACCTACCCAAACCTAAATACCACTGAATAATCTCTCCCACCAAGGACAGTTCCTCCAAGATAGTGGAACATGTTCAAAACCAAAAGATAAGGTGTACACGCAGGAACAAAATGTTACCATCCTGCTTAATATACATGATGGGAAAAGCAGGAAAGAACTGTATATATTAGGATAACAAATAATAGCAATACAAGGACTAGATCTGAACAAGGACGTTAAGTGAAGATGAACATAAATATAGCTTGAAAATTAAATATGCAAACTTCAAATTCAGCACATTATGTTGCAGATTCCTTCTTTAACTCTGGACTGCTAGTTAATGTGTAGGTTTTGAGACCCGAAGGGATCATCAGATCATCTAGTCTGACCTGTATAACACCCATCCATAGAATTTCACCTAGTTACCCTATATTGAGCCCAGTTCCTTGTGTTTGACTAAAGCATGTCTTCCAGAGAGGCATCCAGTCTTCCTTTGAAGCCATCAAGAGATGGAGAATCCATCACTTCCCTAGCAATCTGTTCCAACGGTTAATCATCCTTACAATTAAAAATCTGTGCCTTATTTCTAATTTGCATTTGTCGGGTTTTAACTTCCGGTGATTGCTTTTTGTTATATCTTTATCTGCTAGATTAAAGAGCCCTTTTAGTACCTGGTATTTTCTCCCAATGAAGGTACTTAGACACTGGGATCAAGTCACCTCGTGATATTCTTTTTGACAAGCTAAACATTGAGCTCTCTAAGTTTCTCACTGTAAGGCATTTTTTTCCAGCTCCCGAATGAGTTTCGTGGCTCTTTGCAGCACCATCTCCAATTTTTCATCCTTTTTAAAATATGGACACAAGAACTGGACAGAGTATTCAATTTTTGGTTTCACCACTGCTGTACACAGAGGTGAAATAACCTCCCTACTTCTACTTGCTTCTCACCTGTTCATACGCTCAAGGTTTGCATTATTATCTCTCTTTGCCACAGCACTGCACTGGGAGCTCTGTTCAGTTGTTTGTGGAGTATGATCCCTTCCATCTTTTTCAGTGTCACTGCTGACCAGGATATTGTCCTCAGGTCTGTAGATATGGTCTGCATTCTTCATATTTAGAGCTAAGACCTTGCATTAGGCTGTATTAAAACACATTTTGTTTGAATGGGCCCAGCTTAAAAAACAATCCAGATCACTTTTAATGACTGCTCTGTCCTCTTCATTTACCACTCAACTAATTTTTGTATCACCCACAAATTTTATCAGCTGTGATTTTATATTTACTTCCAGATCATTGATAAAAAATATTGAATAATGTTGGATTGATGTTAATTATGTGGATTTTTATTTTTGTGTATATGCCAGAATATTTGTTTCTGTATTTTATAACATGCTGCCAACTGCTTGATACTGCACAACACAGAAAAGGCACAGCAGTGCTCCTGCCCCACAGGGCTTGCTTGCAGTCAAGGGCCAAATCATAGCTCATAGGAGGGGACTTTTTGGAACATTCACACAAATTAGCTACAGGGTGAGGCAAGCTCAGTTTTGCTACTTCACACACACGTTTAGAGTTTATCCCCAAACCTGGCAGACCCCAGAGGATCTGTGGAAGGCCAGGGTCAGTTACACAGAAGCCTGCTGCCTCCACACCAGTTCTGCACCCCAGGGGCCTCACGCAGCACGATGGTAGCAGAGCAGCAATGGGGCCATCCTAAAATGGAATTACCCCTTGCCACCATGACCCTTGGTTCTGGAGGTATATTTCCTCTTCTGAGTAAGTTCTGCAGGGCCAGAAAGGGAACTATTTGCATCCCCTAGCCCTGAGCCTCCAATTCTTTCATCTGGCCCATTCAGTCCCACCCACCCATCGGCACAGACCCAAGACAACAGGGAGAGGACTGCAGGCAGGGGAACTGTACTTTGAAGATGGCTGAGCCCTCCTGGAGAATACATGTTAATCTCAGGGGAATGTTGCTGTCTAGTTCCAAGTAACTTAACCCCAGATATCACAGGACAAGGAAGCCTTAAATTTACAGTTTTCTTTATTTTATAAACCTGTGAGAAAAATGATGAATTTCAGAAGAGATGGTCGTGGTGAAGGGGGTGCACGGACACAACAGATAATTTGCTCTGCTGTTTGATCCACTGCAGGCGCAGAACTAGGTTGTATCACTGCTAGACGCACAGCCCAGGTGAATCCAGGAGCAGCCCTGCCTTCAAACACATTGACTGAGCATGTGCACAGTGGGTCACAAAGGACAGTTGTGAATTCAGCAATGTTACAAAACATGCAGTTGTCAAGATTGTATAACAGCTGCTTTGGGAACAGACAAGTACCTGCTGTTGAAGGACCATGGAGGATGTAGAAACTGATAAGTTCAGGATCCCCAGTGAGAGAGACTTTCAGATTGATGTACACAAGCTAGAATTGGAGAGAAGGAACGAGGAAGCTGAGGAGTGTTTCTGCTTGGTTCTTTCCTCACTGGAACATCATAAGACTACAAGTTCAGTTCCTGCAGATTATCAAAAGTCTGAGGTGGCATCATGCACATCAGCACTCTCAGCTGCAGGACATTTACTGCAGTTATTTCACTCTGGTAAGATTACTATTTATGATTTTATTTTATAGATTCCAAAGTGTACGAGTTGCTTCACCCAAGAACAGCCCTTATCTCAGTGATCTTACAATATACATTTTAGATGTAACAATCCTAGTGAGGGTTGTAAATAGTAGGTGGAGATGGGACAAGAAAGGATAAGGGTTAGGACCACACAATAACATGCTTGTTTACTTTAGGCATGTGCACACCTTGGTGACTCTTTTTTGTTTATTTAAGATACAGGTCAGGATAACAGAAATAGGGAGTATTATCAACTTATTTATTGTGGGCATCTCAGCTTATTGCACATTTTTAATGCACCCATCACTATACAATCTGGGTGCCCCACAAAAATTTGAGATATATTATCCTCCTAAATGGGAGAATGTACCGGCATTCACTCTGCTAAAGTTATCTTATAATGATTCAATCCTGGCAGGAAATCCCCAGGTCAGCATTGTTAGGGATACTCCTGCCCTGACTGTTGGGAAATACATACAGTTAGATTGTACCCCTCTTACATTACTACACAAGTAATTCTGTTGAAATCAAAGGGACTACTTGCATAAAAAAGGTATCGCTGCTCAGCATAAGTAAGGGTGGTGGAACAATCTGGCCCTATGTAAGTTGGCTGTTCTTGCTCTGCTCTCTCAGGGCCTGACCCAGCTTCCTTTCATGTTAAAGGGAGTTATGCCAGTGACTTCAAGGGAAGCGATAGTAGGGCCTGAAAACTCAAACCATCTCTGTCAAAGTCAATGGAAAGATTTGTATTGACTCAGTGGAAATTGGATTGGCCCCTAAATGTGGTAAATCTTGATGGTTTCCAGACACATGGGGAAAAAAAAAAGGTCCTGGCCATGAAGAGCTTACAGTTTCAGTTAGATATAACACAGCAGAAGAAGAGAAAAACCTATTGGGGAGAGGGCAGGGAAGGATGATGGGTACAACAAATAAGGCTCACATAATTTGTTTTGTTGCATATATATCATGTTGGTTCCAGTTTTTTGTTTTTTTCCTAATGAAGTCAGACCCGTCCCCCCCTCTCCCCCCCGCCCACTATGTTTAATCATGTCTTTGGTTCCACCCTTGAAATTTCATGGAGGGGTTAAATGAAACTGAGATGGGCATGTTAATGCAAGGCCTTTGAGAGGAAAATGATTTGGGTAGAAAACTAGGCCTGATTCTCCCAGGCTCTCAGCTCTTTTTCTTTTCTTTGGCAGATATTTGTCTTTTACATTTTGAGTGCCCCAAGGGGTAGAATTGTGGCACTGAGGTTTTAAACAGGAAATATGGTATTTCAATTAAGTGTACTATTTGAATAGCAGAGATGAAACTCCACCCAGCCCCAGATGTCATGGAATAGTGATAATGCAACCAAGATACTTCTCCTTTCCAAAAAACCCAGTGCAGTCCTAGCATATTCCTTGCACTCTTTGACACTTCCCATCAGCACAAAGAATCAGAAAGCTCACATTTCCAGTTGAAGAGCAGAGGATGGCTCTGGATAGATTTATTACTTTAGTTCTGTTTCTCAGATAACTAAGGTGACATGAAGATAACCATCATGTTTTTTAAATGTCAGCTTGGTATATTACAACTCTGTATGGGGAGATACTAATACAAGAAGATTGTAAATTCCAAATATATCAATACAAGGAAAGAGGATCCTTATCTACAGGTCATCGATTGACTGGACGCACCAGTCAAAGAGAGCATTATAAAATTTAAACACATGCTGCATTTAAGAAATGGAGATGTGCCATCTTTGTAGCTCAGTAATCAGAGCTGCTTAAGTAATTGTCTTACTGCTAATTTAATTTGACAGTGAAGCTGATACTGAATACGTCTGATGACCTTGCTGACAAATTAAAAACAGTAGTGCATCGGTAAATATTACAGCATTAGCTCTCAAAAGGAATAATACTATCATGCAAACCTGATTCCATTTTTCAGTACTGTAGATGCAACATTTTGGAAATGAGATGAATTAAATTAATGCAGCAAAAACAAAATTCCGTGGATGAACTTTCTAAAGTCTATAATTATAGAAAAATAATTAAAAGTTTAGTGGTTAGCTCAGGGAACTGTGAGTTGGGACTCTTGGGTTCTTTTCTTGGCTCTGCTTGTATAGCCATGGAGTCACAGTCTCTCTGTGTTATGCCAGTTTCCTCATTCGTAAAATGAATATCAAGCCACCTACCTCCCAGGGCGCTTTGAGTCTTAATTAATAAGTGTTTGTAAAGTACTTTCAGATCTCCAGGTACAAGCTGTTACAGAGCTGCAGAGCATTATTATTATTACTTTAGCTTAGTTTCACACTGATGAATGTCACACTGGTGAGTGGTGTATGGAAGCTTTTTCTCTGATAATAATCCGGGCATAGGTATTTCAATCCAATGATCTCAAACACTTTACAGACATTAATTAATGAAACCATGCAAGGCAGGGAAGTATTGTCCCCACATTTTTTAGAGGAACTAGGAGGCTAAGTAACTTGCTCAAGATCACACATAAACCCATGATACAGTAGGGAATTGACAGATGCCCTGACTTCCAGTCCTGTGCTTTAATCACAGGATCATATCGTTTTTCTAAGTGCATTTCATTAAAGAAATGTTAAATTCTGGCTCAGCTGGTAGCTCAGAAAGTTGTCATTCTGGCTACCCATATCTGGAAGCAAGCGCATGACTTTTATAATGCAGGCCAAGAGAGCCTTGAGGGAGAGGACACAGACTTTTTCACACTTGACTACATCCCAGCAGCCTGTTTAAGTAATGACAATGTCAGAAGTGCGCAATGTACTTGTAGCTGTGTCAGTCCCAGGGTATTAGACAAGGTGAGTAAGGTAATGTCAGAAGTGACTCTTATATGCTCTCCAGGCTGTGGTGACTGTTTTGCACCCATTTGATTTAAAGGAAAGAAAACTAGTATTTTAAGGAGAAAATACGGGTAAAAAATAAATGTGGTTTGTCTCTAACTGATTTCATACCTGGACTCAGAAAGGTACATGTCATCTGTGACAGTGTAACAGTGAATGAAGGGCAGGTAATGCTTGGATACTTAACGCTTCACTGTAAAGATTAAGGGATAATGCTGGAAGGTAAAATGCCTTAACTTGTCAAATGAGCACATTTTTATTCTCCATGTTTTTCAGGCACTCCTACCCTCATTTGACTCCAGACAGATCTGGAACTACCTTTACCTTTGTCTGTTCAGGAGGCTGATTCAGCCAAAGTATGTTCTGGGAATTTTTGCTCATCTACCACTCACCCTGAATTTCTAAGTGTGAATCAAAGCATCTCCAATAAACTTTCATTTGCTGCTGTGGCCCAGAATTCAGCACCAAAGAGCAAAAATGAAAACTGGACATCTTCATGGACTTTGAAAAACAGCTGCTCTGATAATGTAAAATGTCCTCAGAAAAGTTATGAGACTGATCAACTGTCAATAGCTATAGAAAGTGCATATCATGGCTAACCGGAGCCTGAAGATTGTGTTTTGTATTCTTTGGATAACTGTGTTTGTTCTTAGTGGAGATCTCACCTGCAAATAAGTCTATAAACAGAGCTGAAAAGGGAAGGAGAAAGAAGAAGGCATCTTTGCCAAGGAGCCCGGTAGCTGTGAAAGCTGCAGTGTTCTGGTGTAGAAGAGATTTGTGTGTATATGACAAACCTGCATTAATAAAGACACAGGATCTTGAGGTTCCAATTATCCCTGTTTTCCAGTGGAGCTTCCATGAAGAAAATGGGCAAAATTATACATTGGCAGCTGGAGGCGCTATCAGATATGGGCTTTCCTATGCCCTGCCGTAGCTGAACCAGTCTCTGCTGGCCAGGTTTAAACTCTTTTTGAGATCTTTTAAGACAAAAAAACTTGTACCTTTCCCTATATTCCAGTTTTTGTGGGAGATGACATTTAAGTATTCATATGAGTCTTTTGGCTAGCTTCTAGCATATTTTACAACCTGAAGAATGACTGGGGTTTTGAAAATGACCCTCAAAGGAACATGAACCGGAATTTTGCCTTTATTTGTCTTTTTATAATGAATAAGCCTTTTTTATGTCATCTTCCACCAGTGATATTTGGTTTCTCTTTCTATTGTTGTGGATTTATTTTTATTTTCAAATCATTATTTTGAAGTAGGAAAGGAAGCGTTAGACTAAAAACTTGTTATATCTTTGTGGCTGCAAATCAACCATCCTTTCATAATCTACTGGTTTGTGTATAAATCACCATTGCCCTCTAGTGGATGGAATGTCAAACGTATTTGTACGTGCCTAGGTTCTGAGCTAGTGGAACTGATTTTCCTAGGTCACAGGTTTGGTAGATAAAAGTTCAATTTTCACACCTGTTGCCACATGCTGGTGACTGGTATATATTTGTGCCTACATGTTGTTGCATTTGACTCAGCATAACGTGCCTAAGTATTGCTGATCATATTGTATGCAAGAGCATCTTCTGTTCTAAAACTATTAAAGTAGCTAAGCAATAGTTTCTTGCTTCTTTGGACTGTGGCAATTTTGTTATGTGAAGGTTGAATATATAAATTTCTAAACATATGGCTTACACAGTCCATTTTTTTAAAGAAACTGGAAGGAAAATGGTTCTGTGGTATGAATTTCTCATGTCAAGGAGCAAAATGGAGGGTAAATAGTAAGAGATAAAAATACACAGGGATATAACTGTATATTGGAATTATTACATAGTGGTTAAATGGAATTTCACCATGGAGCCTGAATACGTGAGCATGCAAGGAATTGTATTAAAGATAGCCAAACAAGAGTTTGTTCATTTAGATTGACTGGGCAGCTCGTCAGAAAATCCTGGGACTTGGTGCTTTCTAATGGCTGGAGAACTTTCTTGGGAATGGTTGGGAACATTCCAGGGAACACTGCTGTACAGAACAGAAGCCAGATCTTGCTTCCATTGATGTAAATGGTTAATTCCTAGATTTCAACAGGAGCAGGATTATATCCTAGATCTAGCTTTAGACCCACTCTGTGATTAACCGTTTTTTTCTAATGGTCCCATAACGCTCTGAGTAAAAATGACTGTTTTTTAGTAGGACACTCACAGATTTGGTGAAGCATTGAATGAAAATATATATATAAAAAATAATCCTTTTAAGGAATTAGACACTGTGAAAAAAATCAGTTTATGCTGACAGATCTAACACCAGTCATCTCTCCCCCTGCCTCCATTTTGGTCAAATCAGTGCTTTATGAAGCTTAATTCACTAAGACAAGCATACCTAAGTTTCTCAGAAAGATGGCATGGAGAAATCTGGCTTATTGGCTGTTGACTCAATTTCCAGACAAGCCCACAGAATCAGTCAGACCTGTATAAAGGTTACATATTCCAAGGCACAGCTTTCAACATGACACCTACAGTATTTCCGTGCTCTAATAGCATGATGTACTTGGACAATTTGAGCTAGTCTTCCAAAGGAAGTGTTGGGTTCTCTGAAATCATATAATAACCTAGACAAGGCAATGGACATATTGTATTGGCAGCAGGATAATCTGGACAGTTTAATGGGTCCTTCCCATCTCTAAATCTTATATAATACTAGACTTTAGTATCCTAATGTATCCTAAATAAATAAATACAAATAAATACAACAAACAAACAAATCTGGACAATTTAATGGGTCCTTCCCATCTCTAAATCTTATATAATACTAGACTTTAGTATCCTAATGTATATACACTTTGGCTATAAACTGCTGTTAGTAATTTGTTTTTAGTGTTCTCTAAATGTAATAGACACCCCTATAACAGAACACTTGAGATGTCATATTCACAAAACATGGTAGCGTGTTTCTTCCCAATTATGGAAAGCGGGTAAGAGAAGGGAAACGTATCTCAGAATATATTCCCTTTGTGTTAGTAAATCCTGATTAGCCATATATTTCAGAATTACTTTATTCTGTCCTTCCTCTCTGCCCTCAATTTTTATGCAAGTTAAAACCTTGTGTTAGTACAGCGTTTCCCAAACTTAGAAGGCCTCTTGTTCAGGGAAAGCCCCTGGTGGGCGGGCCGGTTTGTTTACTTGCCGCGTCCACAGGTTCGGCCGATCGCGGCTCCCACTGGCCGCAATTTGCAGCTCCAGGCCAATGGGGGCTGTGGGAAGTGGCGGATGGTACCTCCCTCGGCCCACGCTGCTTCCTGCAGCAGCGAACCGCAGCCAGTGGGAGCCACGATCAGCCAAACCTGCGGACGCAGCACGCAAACAAACCGGCCCAGCCCGCCAGGGGCTTTCCCTGAACAAGCGGTGTCCCAGGTTTGGGAAACACTACATTAGCACATGGGTTATGACTGTTGTGGATTTGGGTTAACAATAAGGTAGGCCTACTGAGACCCAGTTATACTTTGTATTTGCATAATGGGTTTTTCATTTTTAAAGCACTCTGACAACATTTGTTACTTATCCTCACAATACCCTTGTGTGTGTAGTTCCATTTTAGAAATGGTGAGACTGAAGCCTAAATATTTAATGAATTACCCAAGGTGTCACAGTCAGCCAAGGAGCTAGGATTAAAATATAGACTGCCTTAGTCCCAGATAGGTGATCAAGCCACTAGAGGACATCTCTGTGACTGCAGTTCATGCTGAAAGGAAAGTCAAGATGCTCTAAAAATCCCACATAAACAAAGATTGAACTATGAAATAATAGTTTGCCAGCTAGAACCTCTTTCATGAATAGTTACATGGAAGCAGGACACTGATTGTGTAATTTCCATATATTCCTGGAAATGACTCATTTCAGAGCAGTTGGCTTTAGTGGCATTCTCTCTCACTTGTACTACTCAAAAGCTTAAAACAAATAGTTCCTAAAAAGTAGGTTTTAGGCAGTCCTAAGTTCATGTACATGTTGATAGTGTTGTCTATCACAGTGTTACTATTTCAAAGGCATGATTCTTGGACAGAATTTTCTATAAAGTCATTACAGATCTACAAGAAAGACAGCAACAGTCCTTATAAGATGCAGTTTGAGGTATGAAAACATACAGACTGGGGATTCTTTCTCTGGCTGTAATATAATCCCTATTCTTGACAAACTTCTTGATTTTATACTAAGATGTGCTGAAGATGATATAGTCAAGAATCAGGAAGTTTGCTTTTTGGTATCTGGATCACCTAAAAAGGTTTTAAGTACGGAATTTTAGATCCAGCCTCCTAGGACAGTCCTTATAATACAGGGCTAAAAGTTTGAGAGAGTCAGACACGACAATTGTCTAATGAAAGATGTCACTACCAGCGCCATCCATGAGGGAGCAATGAAGTATGAACAGAAAGAGACTGATTACATAGTGAAAGAATTTCCCTGCAGAACTCCAGGAACAAGAGCAGTAGTACACCCAAGCAAGACCCCTTCACAATAATACACCCAGGATATTCTGACATGGCAAATTAAAACTTGTAGGGAACATACTATGTTTCACAGCCTACTTATATTAGGCTCAGGCTGCACAACTCTTGTCATTCTCAGCCACCTTGCAGTACTGACTATAACAAGTGGTACTCCTGCAGTTGAATACATTTTAAATGGTTACTAATTCCCTTTATGATGGCACTCCCTACCCACTTTCCAAAAGCTTGACATTTGTGTAGTGAAGAAAAGCCACTTAGATACAGAAGAGGATGTCACACATGATCCTGAACATTCACATATGATCACAGCAACCATTTCCCAATTGGGTCACATTCAAGAATGGGTAGAACTCGCTGTTTCCTAACCATCAGTTGATAGCATTTACTTCTATTAAAAATCATGTTAAAGTTCAGTTTCTTTCTGCACAAGGGTTAGAGAAAAAACAATGAAATCCAAACAGCTCTAGAACTCATATGAAGAGTGACATATACAGGTAATGTCCTTCAATCAAATTGAGCTTGTATCCTTTTCTCACCTCCCAGATTAAACGTTTCAACAGGAGACTACCATTCATTCCCATCACTTCCATTTATCCCATCCCCCTTGCAATCCTAAAGTACACTGGACTTATCCTTCAGTTTGTATACATAATAGGCACAGCTGGCCTCTCATTGAAACTTCAGGTCCTCTTCACCCATCAATGAACTGATCAAAGTTTTGCCTGAGAAGGGCATAAGATTGTGTTAAAGCATTAGAGAGGGCTGTCCTTCTATCACGTATGTGTCACAATGAGATATTAGTCATTCTAGCACGCAAATGCATAGTTAGAATATACAGATCCAGAGCCTTTGAAGGATTACATGTATTTTGAATCCCAAGTTGTGCAAGTGGTAGGTTAATCTTGCAAGTTCCAAACGGGATAACCAACTTTATATAAAATATGTAAAACGGGTTATGGTACAAAACAACAGCAAACATAAATGGTAAAGTCATTTTTTTTTTTTATTTTCTGTTATCTAGTCTTCTGCAAGGCTGTAGCCTTATCTGTAGAAAATCTTAACTAAAACTAAACTTTTTAAAGATTATATTGTTATGCACACTTGAAACCTGATGCAGCTTTTCTATCACAACACCCTGTTAGCTATGTAAATGTATTTGGACAGCTAACTACGGTGGTGAAAAAAGCAACACAGTTACCATGCTGCTGTTAAGACTGTTGCATATTGCAATGCTATGCTTTAAGTGTGTATTTTTACAAACTAAATTTATTTTCCTCTAGATGACATTCCAAACTTTGAAAATTACATAATTAAGTTTAGTAGGCTAAAAAAATCACTAGCAAAAGGGAGCAAATGTTAAGCATTTTCTTTTTCCTATCTGCAATCTCTTATTGTCACAGGATTGATCTTTAGTACAACACGATTCAGAGGCAGCATATTTGTCTTGAAATGTTATCCAAAATTCCTGGAATATGCAATTTTTTCAAGCTGCCCACTGTCAGACCTTCTGTACACCACTAATCTATGAAACTACGCTGAAGTAAGTGTTTTATAGTGGTTTATTTTAGTGTTCCAGGTCAGTCCTCAATGGATTTTATAAATTTCTCATACGCATCCTCATTCATCAGTTCATTAAGTTCTGAAGGGTTGTCCACAGTCATCTTGATAAGCCAACCTGTAAGAAAGAAATTAAATTACATTTTAAAAAAAATTAATTAGACCTATTAAAATAAAGGCATCTAAATCCAAACATTAAGGAAATAATTTTTTAAGTTCACCCCCATGTACCTACAGCTCTTTAAAACTGTAGTGGACTCAAGGGCTTGGTCGTCTAGTATGGGCAAAACAATTTTCAGATGCTTTTAAGTTCTGTTAAATTTAGAGGAGGAAATATAACCACTCTAAATATGTTCTTCCTTCGCTATTTAAAAGGAGGTTTAAACTCAACCACAGTATATTTAGCTCTGAAGATTTCTGGAAGCTGTAAGCAACATGTCAATTTCCTAGTGAAGACAGGACTAAAATGTTTAACAATTTCATACTATGGGGTTTATTGAAACTGGAGATATTCAGAGACATGAGGCATGTCTATACTACAAACTTAAGTAGACCTATGTTAGGTGGACTTACAGCCACTGCAGTAGTTACTGC